TGGTTTGCCAGAGCCTCCTTCCTAGAGCAGAGCCCAGCTGGCAAGCGCAGGAGGCGGGTTTTTCATTGCTTTTCGCCCTTTTTGGGCGCGGGTGGTTTTTCACGCTTACCGGCAACTGCTCCCGACTCCTTTTTGCAAGCCGCCACCAGCATTTTTCCTCCCACCGACGTGAGAGTACCCATTTATCTATTCACGTGAGTTTCGAACTGTTGGGTTGACAGGAACTGGGGAGGAAACAGGAGCTCACCCTGTTAACGCGAAGGCTGGACTCGAACCGCTGAAGCATCGACCATTTCTGGCCGGCAACTTTCAGCGTCATAGAGCTGGTCTAAAGGAAAGCCTTTAGGGATTGATAGCATCCTGAGTCCCTTCCTTGCAGTTGGTGATAGGTTGATTGATTATGTGCCATCGTCATTTTTGACTTCTAGTACCCCCATAGATAGATTTTCTCCATGATGATCTGTATCTAACTTGTTCTTTCAGGTCTCCCAATGGTGCACTCATCACCACCGTAACTGAGTCCATCCACCTTGCTGCTGGTCATCCTCTTCTTCTTTTTCCTTCCATCTTTCCCAGCATTAGAGCCTTTTCCAGAGAGCTGGGTCTTTGCATACTGTGTCTGAAGTAGGATAATTTGAGCCTGGTTATTTGTGCCTCAAGTGAGAACTCTGGGTTCATTTGTTCAATGATCCATTGGTTTGTTTTCTTGGCTGTCCATGGTATTCTCAGCAGTCTTCTCCAACACCAAAGTTCAAAGGTGATAGGTAGTACTATTTTTTCTCAGTATGTTGTCAAATAGGAAGGGTTTATCTTATTACTGATTGTTTGGTTTTTGTTTTTATTTCTTCCTTTGCAGTATTTGGGAGCTGTTTAGAGCCTTGTTTGGGGTTGAGTGACATATAAATTGCAGTAATAAATAAAAGAAATATAATAGATACATACATACATCTTCTGGTTTGGGGGCCAAGCAAACAGAACCACATCCTTTCTTGGAATGCTCCTAGCCCAGCTCTCGCTGCACTTCTGTTTTGGCCTCCCTGATGGTGGAGTTGTTGAGCCTCCTATGGAGGTAGCTCGAAATTCTGTTACCGGCTTTTTCCTTCGGAGACTGGAGCCCTGACTCTGCTCTTCAGAGGGAAAATTTGACTGAATTTATGGCTTCTTGGACACCATCCCAGAACATTGGATTATAACCTAAATGTAACTGGAGAAGGTTGCTTCGTAATAGGAAGATCAAAACGCTAGATTTTTTGTTTGTTTCTGGGAGCAGTGTTCCTTGATACTGCTGTTAGAACCAATTATTAATCTTGTGTTGCTGCTCAGAGACTTGTAAACTGCATTAAAGGCAAAATGGATCCTCTAGGCCAGGGTTCCTCAACCTCAGCAACTTTAAGATGGGTGGACTTCAATTCCCAGAATTCCCCTGCCAGAATAACTGGCTGGGGAATTCTGGGAGTTGAAGTCCAATATCTTAAAGTTGCTGAGGTTGAGGAACCCTGCTCTAGGCCTCATTTCCAGTTATGTGTAAGGAAAGAGATCAAATGGGATTTGGGGAGACATTTCAGTCTAGTAAGGTGATAACACCCAAGTAATAAACATATATACCTTTCTGCAGTAAGCAACACTAAACAGAGAACAGAAAAGGAGTAAGACGTAGCAGGCCAAAGAAATTAAAGGCTATACCTACACCATTCACTACAGTCTTCCAGTGTTTCTACCCTTACAAACCCTCCTCGTTTCCACCATATCATCTACCACTCCATACATTGCCTTTTGTTCTTTAAACTTCTTGCCTCCCTCTTTTTGCCAATTTCTCCATTCCACCCAACCTCAACTTTCCTGGTCTTTCCCTTCCTCCTTTTCATATATTTGTTTTGCAGTTCAATCCTAATTCATTTTCTCTATGTGATGAACCACTTCAGCATACTTTCTCATACTCTTTTTTTCGTTGCACATTCATTCATCACTCATTCATTTCTGATTCTGTCCTTGTTTTACACAACATACTTCTTGACTAGTCCATTTCCATTACATTCAATTTACTTTTTTGGTTTGTCCTGATGAATTCAACCCTCACTTCCATATAAGAAAGTGTGCAAAAACTCTTACACAACATCATTTTTGTTTCTTTTGACAAATGTTTCTCACAACAAACCACACACTGCCCAGCATTTTTGCATATCTTAACTTTTTCCCGTTTAGGAAACATTTTGGGAAGATGCACAAATTCATCCACTTGCTGTAGTTTTTTACCATTTACTTGCAATCATTCCCTCCATTTCCTGTGGCAAATGCAGCGATTTTGACCTGATACAATAATGTTCAGATCCGTTCTCCTCGCTGCATCATGCTAATTAGCATTAGCTGTAAATAATTCAGTTTCATCCAACAAAACAATATCATCTACATACAAAGGGACATGTACATCTACAACTCCAATCAACACATCTCATTGCCACAATGATTTCTTATACATTTATCCATAAATACATTAAACCATAAAGGGGACATCACACATTCTTATCTTTCTCCCTTCTCAGTGTTGAATCATTTGCTAAGCATTCCATTCATTCTCATGCATGCTGAACTCCCAGTGTATAAGTGATCTGATTGCATTCAGCAGCTAACCTTTAACATTCCATAATTCAAGCATATTCAGTTTATCATACAGTTTCATTAAATAAAAAAAATGTAGATATACTTTTTTTTACTCACATTCATACATTTCTTAATGCTAAAGAGGTCTGTACCCATTCTGCTTGGCATAAAGCTGCACTGTATTTCCCCAATGTTGCACACTGTCAGTCTTGTACCCTTTTGTCAGAAATCTGCCCAACACCTTCTCACACTTAACAGATGAATCTAAATGTAGTTTTTGCATTCACCCTTGTTACTGTTCCCTTTGATAGAGAAACAGTAACAGCTGCCTTCCAATTGCAAGCCACAGATGAAGTCTTCATGCACACATTAAGTTGCACAACCACTCTATTAGCAAACCACATCCATATTCTAACATTTTTCCTGTTACATCATTTATATCTGCAACCTTAGCAGTTTTGAACATTTCAGATGATATCATTTTATCTGTTTTTTTTCTTGTACACTGACATTTACAACATTTGTTTCAGTGCCATTCTTTGACATAGTACATCATACCACGTTGGTCTTGAAAATACTCCTTGCAGTATTATCGCATTTCGAATTTGTCCCAAATCGTTTCATTGCTTTTATTTTTAATTCTGTTATCTCTCCTTGAAATTTCTTGTTTAGCCCTTCTTGCCCCCTTCTAACACAAATTTTATTTTCATCCAAATCATTCTGCATTTTCTCTGTTACTTCCATAAATTTGGTTGCTATTGTTTTTCAAGCAACTTGATCAGCAACTTCCCCATGCTGGCTGGGGAATTCTGGGAGTTAAAGTCTACACATCTTAAAATTGCCAAGGTTGAAAAACATTGTATTAGATGGACATATAGATATTTACCTACACTCCCTATTGTGGCTTTGATCAGTAAAAACTTTCACAAACTGTAATGCTTCTGAGTGAAGCAGAAAAGGTATAGAGTAGATTATCAGCCTTATTTGCACAATGCGATGTACAGCATTCCCTGCTAATAGTAAAAATAGTACTGGTCAGTTTTGGCCAGTGTGCTACAAGTGCAACTACATCTCAATTTTACTCCAAGCATACTCCTCTGCAAGCTAATCTAGAGAATATCTTGCAAACCAGCATATGTTTCCTGTATCCCATCAACTCAGAGTTACATTAGTGTCCTGATACACAGGTTATGTGGATATACTAAGCTATCTCCATATATTCAGCTGTGGAGAACTTTAGGGTGGTATTGAACAACAGGCTAATTGTGTCAGAGTTAAGCTTGATTATGTTTTTTGTGGCTCATTCTATTGTGCGAACCCATCTCATTTGTTTAATTTGTGGTTCTAACTACATTACTGCATACATTGAATTGGACCAATGTATTCTCTGCTCTCACAGCTCTTGATATCTGAATATAGAAACTTGTGGCTTTCTTGTGTTAGTCCTTAGCCAGCATGGCCTAATTGTGGATGATGAGGATTGTGGCTGTGTGAACTTTGTTGGGGTATAGGTTTCTAGACCTCATTTTAAAGCACATGCTGTGCCCTTGAGCTGTGACCATCTCTAATTGTCCAGGAGTTCCTGACAATTATTTATTTATTTAGTTCTTGTCTTTATATTCTGACTTCTCCAACAATCTCAAAATAGTATGTAAATGCCTCTACATCCCCCTGCCTTCCATTTTATCCTCACAGCAGCCCCATGAAGTAGGTAAATCTGAGAGTGAGTTGGGTCCATTTCATGGCTGCGGTGGGGAACTTCAGTCTGGGTCTTCCCAATTACAATCCTGTGCTGTAACTACTGGATCCCACTAGCTCTTGATCAATGATGGTTGGGTGTGTGTCATTTTAATAGCTGGAATGCTGTTTGGGAGGAGAGAAGCTGATTAACTTTAATCACAGTACCTCTGATTTATTTGTTTCCTTTGTTTTATTTATTGTTCCTCTGCCCCAACAAGTCTTGATCTCTTGGGACCACATTCTCCATGGCATGAAACACTTGGGCTGGCCGGCCACCTTTAACCGCATGAGGTGGGTTTTCCACAAAAGATGGTAGGGAAACTCAAGCAGAACCTCTTGCTCGCCTGTCTGGTGATTAGTTCGGTGACTGTCTTCTACTTGGGGCAACATGCTATGGAATGCCACCACCAAATAGAGGAGCGAAGCCAACTGACCCGCCTAGAGCCAGCCAAAGCAACCACAAGAACCAGCCAGAGCATGAAGGAAAATGCCACGCTGGCTTACAACAAAGACATGCCTTTAATATTTATTGGGGGAGTACCCCGGAGTGGCACCACCTTGATGCGGGCAATGCTGGATGCTCACCCAGACATCCGCTGTGGAGAAGAGACACGGGTGATCCCTCGGATTTTGGCTGTGAAACAGATGTGGGCTCGGTCAAGCAAAGAGAAGATGCGGCTCAATGAGGCGGGTGTCACAGACGAGGTGTTGGACTCTGCCATGCAGGCCTTCCTCTTGGAGATTATCGTGAAGCATGGGGAACCAGCTCCTTACCTTTGCAACAAGGACCCCTTTGCCCTCAAGTCTTTAACTTACCTTGCCAGGATTTTCCCCAATGCCAAGTTTATTTTGATGGTCAGAGATGGCCGGGCCTCCGTTCATTCCATGATCTCCAGGAAGGTCACCATCGCTGGCTTTGATCTGAATAGCTACAGGGATTGCCTGACCAAGTGGAATCGTGCCATTGAGACCATGTATAACCAGTGCCTGGAGGCTGGTGTCGACCGTTGCATGATGATGTATTATGAACAGCTAGTCTTGCACCCCGAGCAGTGGCTCAGGACGCTCCTCAAATTTCTCCACATCCCGTGGAATCCTGCAGTTTTACACCATGAAGAAATGATCGGGAAAGCCGGGGGAGTGTCCCTATCAAAGTGAGTCTGCTTCTTCCTGGGCGGGTTTTCTAGAAACTACTGAGTTAGATATATTTTGTCTAGCTGTTTGTTTTCTCTAAAATACTCAAAAAGGGCTAGGATATTTTGCTATGGCCAGGGGTTGCACATAACAATAACAAAAATGCATGCTGCGAACTTCAGAAAAACAGAAACATTCCTCCTCCCCAGTCATTTCTTTTCAGAAATTATGTTCCTTACCATACACTTCTGAAATTAGGAAACATTCTCATGTAAAGATGCCAGGAATTACCCTTCACTGCAGAAAGACTCAAGGATAGGGGTGTGGGATGGAACATTTTCTGTTGCTACATTTTCCATTGCAAAAAATTGCCTGTTTCTAAAATGGCATTATTTTATATAATTACATGCAGATGAGGTAAAAGGTACCCATTAGCTCAACCTTCTTCACAAGGTTGTTGTATGTGTGTTTGTGTGGGAGGGGAGGAATGGAAGAAGGAATGCCTTGAGCTCTTGAAGGAAAGGAATAGTAGTAGTAGTTGTTTTGGCATTGACTCCCTTGAGCCTATCCCATCAGAAAGTTTTCTACTCCTGTCCTAGTGGAAGCTGAATGGAAGAATGAAACAAGGCCAATAATTCATACAGAGATGCAGCAGGCGGTTTCCTCTAAGCTCATAAGACAGACTTTTCATCATTTCAGTACATCCATTCCTCATGGCCAACAATTACCTCCCTGTAGCATGCAGGTTGGGGGCGATCAATGGTTTCATCACTATAAACCAGTGTTGGCTGGCTGGGGAATTCTGGGAGTTGAAGTCCATACATTTTAAAGTTGCTGAGATTGGGAAACACTGAGATAAACAATATTTATTGTTAGTAAGAATGTTGCCTTGTGGTAAACCTGCAGGATCAGTTTTCACCAGTGGGATCAAGACTGAAGGACGAGCAAACCTCCTTTTGCTTTGTAATTTTCATCTGCAATCCCAAAACAGAACATGAAATGCTGGTGTTCTGCAGAAAGAGAGGGAGAGCACGTTGATTTGTTTGCAGTTATTTGTCTTAAGCAGTGCAAATATGCAGCAGACTAGAGCAAAGGCAAACAGGAGGGACATCCTGATACTTAAGTACCAAAATAGTAGGTCTCAAACATTTCTCCTCTTCAAAATGCTGTTTTAAAAGGAGATAGGAGAGTTTTTAAAAAAATTTACATTGACCTTTCTACTTACAGAAAGCAATAGTAGCTATGTCAATCACAAGGAAAACAGAATCCCTCCTGTTAGACAAACTGAAATTTTACAAAGTCACTGCAAGTTTGAAACTTGAAAACTTGCAGGGCTTTTGTAAAACTTGAATTAGTCTAGCATTCTGGTTTGTTTGTTTCTTATCTACTGAGTACTCAGCAGCTTGCAGTAAAAACAAAAGAAAACATAAAACAATTAAAAATCATTACCCCCCCCCCCCCCC